AGTCATTTAGCGGTTCTATAAATAAGTCATTTAGCCATTCCATAAATGAGTCATTTATCTGTTCCATAAATGAATCATTTAGCGGTTCCATAAATGAGTCATTTAGCAGTTCCATAAATGAGTCATTTAGCAGCTGCAAAAATGAGTCATTTAACAGCTGCAAAAAGTTTGTCATTTGGCAGCTGCAAAAATAGTCATTTAGCTGTTCCATAAATGAGTCATTAAGCTGTTCCATAAATGAGTCATGTAGCTTCTATATAAATGAGTCATTAAGCTACTATATAAAAGAGTCATAAATCAGTTATTTAGCTGTTCCATAAATGAGTCATTTAGCTGTTCCATAAATGAGTCATTTAGCTGTTCCATTAATGAGTCATTCAGCTGTTCCATTAATGAGTCATTTAGTAGCTGCAAAAATGAGTCATTTAGCAGCTGCAAAAAAGTCATTTAGCAGCTGCAAAAATGAGCTATATAAACGAGGCATTTAGCTGCTATATAAGTTAGTCATTTAGCTGTTCCATAAATGAGTCATTTAGCTGTTCCATAAATGAGTCATTTAGCTGTTCCATAAATGAGTCATTTACCTGTTCCATAAATGAGTCATTTACCTGTTCCATAAATGAGTCATTTAGCTTCTCCATAAATGAGTCATTAAGCTTCTATAAAAAAGAGTCATAAATCAGTCATTTAGCTGTTCCATAAATGAGTCATTTAGCAGTTCAATTAATAAGTTATTTAGCAGCTGCAAAATGAGTCATTTAGCAGCTGCAAAATGAGTCATTTAGCAGCTTCTAAAATGAGGCATTTAGCAGCTGCAAAAATGAGCTATATAAACGAGACATTTAGCTGCCATATAAGTGAGTCATTTAGCTGCTATATAAGTGAGTCATTTAGCTGCTATATAAGTGAGTCATTTAGCTGCCATATAAGTGAGTCATTTAGCTGCTATATAAGTGAGTCATTTAGCAGCTGCAAAAATGAGCTATATCAACGAGACATTTAGCTGCTATATAAGTGAGACATTTAGCTGCTATATAAGTGAGTCATTTAGCTGCTATATAAGTGAGTCATTTAGCTGTTCCATAAATGAGTCATTTAGCTGTTTCATAAATGAGTCATTTAGCTGTTCCATAAATGAGTCATTTAGCTGTTCTATTAATGAGTCATTTAGCAGCTGCAAAAATGAGTCATTTAGCAGCTGCAAAAAAGAGTCATATAGCAGCTGCAAAATGAGTCATTTAGCTGTTCCATAAATGAGTCAGTTAGCTGTTCCATTAATGAGTCATTTAGCAGCTGCAAAAATGAGTCATTTAGCAGCTGCAAAAATGAGTCATTTAGCAGCTGCAAAAATGAGTCATTTAGCAGCTGCAAAAATGAGCTATATAAATGAGACCTTTAGCTGCTATATAAGTGAGTCAATTAGCTGCTATATAAGTGAGTCATTTACCTGTTCCATAAATGAGTCATTTAGCTGTTCCATAATGAGTCATTCAGCTGTTCCATTAATGAGTCATTTAGCAGCTGCATAAATGAGCTATATAAACGAGTCATTTAGCTTCTATATAAGTTAGTCAATTAGCTGCTATATAAGTAAGTCATTTAGCTGTTCCATAAATGAGTCATTTAGCTGTTCCATAAATGAGTCATTTAGCTGTTCCATAAATGAGTCATTAAGCTGTTCCATAAATAAGTCATTTAGCTGTTCCATAAATGAGTCATGTAGCTTCTATATAAATGAGTCATTAAGCTTCTATAAAAAAGAGTCATAAATGAGTCATTTAGCTGTTCCATTAATGAGTCATTTAGCTGTTCCATTAATAAGTTATTTAGCAGCTGCAAAACGGGGGAATATAGCAGCTGCAAAATGAGTCATTTAGCAGCTTCTAAAATGAGTCTTTTGCAGCCGCAAAATGAGTCATTCAGCAGCTACAAAAATGAGTCATTTAGCAGCTGCAAAAATGAGCTATATAAACGAGACATTTAGCTGCTATATAAGTGAGTCATTTAGCTGCTATATAAGTGAGTCATTTTGCTGCTATATAAGTGAGACATTTAGCTGCTATATAAGTGAGTCATTTAGCTGTTCCATAAATGAGTCATTTAGCAGCTGCAAAAAGGAGTCATATAGCAGCTGCAAAAAGGAGTCATATAGCAGCTGCAAAATGAGTCATTTAGCTGTTCCATAAATGAGTCAGTTAGCTGTTCCATTAATGAGTCAGTTAGCTGTTCCATAAAGGAGTCATTTAGCAGCTGCAAAAAATGAATCATATAGCAACTGCAAAAATGAGTCATATAGCTGTTCCATAAATAAGTCATTTAGCTGTTCCATAGATGAGTCATGTAGCTTCTATATAAATGAGTCATTAAGCTTCTATAAAAAAGAGTCATAAATGAGTCATTTAGCTGTTCCATAAATGAGTCATTTAGCTGTTCCATTAATAAGTTATTTAGCAGCTGCAAAACGGGGGAATATAGCAGCTGCAAAATGAGTCATTTACCAGCTTCTAAAATGAGTCTTTTGCAGCCACAAAATGAGTCATTCAGCAGCTGCAAAAATAAGTCATTTAGCAGCTGCAAAAATGAGCTATATAAACGAGACATTTAGCTGCTATATAAGTGAGTCATTTAGCTGTTTCATAAATGAGTCATTTAGCTGTTTCATAAATGAGTCATTTAGCTGCTATAAATGAGTCATTCAGCTGTTCCATAAATGAGTCATTTAGCAGCTGCAAAAATGAGTCATTTAGCAGCTGCAAAAAGGAGTCATATAGCAGCTGCAAAAAGGAGTCATATAGCAGCTGCAAAATGAGTCATTTAGCTGTTCCATAAATGAGTCAGTTAGCTGTTCCATTAATGAGTCAGTTAGCTGTTCCATTAATGAGTCATTTAGCAGCTGCAAAAAATGAGTCATATAGCAGCTGCAAAAATGAGTCATATAGCTGTTCCATAAATAAGTCATTTAGCTGTTCCATAAATGAGTCATGTAGCTTCTATATAAATGAGTCATTAAGCTTCTATAAAAAAGAGTCATAAATGAGTCATTTAGCTGTTCCATAAATGAGTCATTTAGCTGT